CAAGTATAAGCTTTGACGAAAAGAAAAATTCATGTTTTGACTTGTTTTGAATGTGTTATAACTCTAGTTTTGTAACCACACACTTTTGAAAGACACATAAATTGGGTTAGTTATGCTAGGAATAACCAGAAACATGAATTCGGTTATATGTGTGTCCCGTTGTATATTATTTGTGTGTTTGAATCTAAAAGAAGTTGAGAAAATACAACCAAGGATGGAAAGATATAAAATACACATTTGACACCCATTAAGCCAATTATCCTAACGGCTTGATGGGTTAAGTCAATCCCTAAAGCCTAAGATGACTTCTTGATTCAAACATAAATTTGGACAGAATTGTTGAGCTGTCTTGTAAGGGCTGTAGAGGCTATTTTGATCCGAATTAGACAAAAGCACTACAAGAACAAATTTTTGGGAAATCGAGTCTAGTTTCTAGAAACTCCAAAATCCATCCATTTGGAGTTGTAGATTATGTTTCAAGCTCAAAATACTGGAGAATGGTCAATCTGGGAATTTCTAAAACTCTAATAAAATTAGCATAAACCTAATTGTGATATTAACTCTATATGTGTGAAAGTTGTATACTTGAAAAACACATAATAGTATGATTTTTTATGTTGTATTAGGGGAGATTGTGATAATCTCAAATGATGACGATACTTGAAGTGGGAAAGAGTGTTTACGCGACAAAGGTGAGTCAAACCTTGTTGCAATTGTAGTACATTGTTGGAAAATTTTTTTACTTGTAAGGCTGTTAATAGTGTTAAGGATGGTGAAAATTGTGGTTGTGTAGCCCGTGTATGTGAAAAAACATATAAGAGCGGAAAATCTTTCCAATGCAATTTTTAAGGGCAAAACACATTAGAAGTTGGGATTTCAAATGCTTCTATTGCCACTATGGTATCTGAAAGTTAAGATGAATGATTTCTTGAATTTTATCTTCAAGGCAATGAAAAAATAATTAAATTTTGTCAATATGATCTTTAACTACTACATGTAACAAAAAGATTGAGATGGATGGATTATATGAGCCTTTCATATATATCCCAGAAGTATAAAGTAAGATGTTATAATCATCTTTTTTTTTAATTATATTATTTCTATTATGAACATAAATGGAATGGTTCTTGAAAGTTTGTCTTGAAACTGTTATTACAATGTTTGTGGTTTGCTTAATTTTAATTCCTTCCGGCAATAGATTGTTTCTCTAATGTTCTTATATAAATTTAAATTTTTTTTATTCAAATGATGGTTGTAAGGTAAGCTATAAGTTTATCTCCAATCCCCATTTATATGATTTAAAACTTATAAAACCTTTTTGTTTTTGTTAACTTGCAGAGACTCTTGTTATATGTAATTGAAAAAAGTGAAGGATCTTCTAAGGTTTATGCTCAAGGTGAAGATGAACACAAGTTTTGGAGTCCCTTATTAGGTTGCCTCCAGAAAATGATTGTACAGTTGATGAGAATGGTCCTATTTTCTTGGTAATATTCATTATATTGTTAGTGATATTCAAGGCACATGAAGTTGAAAGAAATCAGTTGATTAAAATGCTTAAAGGGATTCAAGAGGGTCATGAAAAAAAAGTTGAACTAGAAGCTGTGCGAATAGATATTAACTACCAACGAGAAAACTTTAAAGCCATGATTTGGAAGTTTACAAAACACCAACCTCGAGAAGGTTGATAGTTGCTAATATGATTTAGCGTGTATGTTTAGTATGTGTCTAGGATGTTTTTTAATGCTTTTTTTGTGATTATAGTTTACAACTTTGTGTTGACTTTGATTTATGTTTGTTTTTTAATTTAGAAATGTCAAAGGAGACCACAAAATTCTATAACATATTTATGTTATTATTGTTATGGTGTAATTTTAGTAGTAATGAATATTTGTTGCAATGTAGTAAAACATATTTAGCGTCTATATGATTAGAAAAAAAATGTCGCATTAGCGTTAGAAAAGTCACAAAAATAAAGTTGCATTCGACTGTCAACAAGGTTGCATTTTTTGCAATTAAAGACGTAACAAAGGTTGCATATATCATAGAGAAAGGTTGCAATTCTTTATTAGAAACATAATAAAGGTTGCAATGGATTATAAAAAAAAAGTTGCATTTTCGTAACTAAAACCATTAAAAAAGTTGCCTATCAATGTAAAAAAGAGTTGCATATGAGCATATAAAAGTTGTTTTTGCATAACAAAGGTTGCATTCAAAAAAGAGTTGCATCTAAAAAAGTTTTGCAACTATTTTAAAAAGGGTTGCATTTTCCAAAGAAAGGTTGCTTTAGGTCTAATGCAACTTTACCTAATGCAACCTTTGGTAAAAGGTTGCTTTAGGCATTATGCAGCTTTGTTAAGGCCTAATGCAACCTTTTGGTGAGGTTGCATTAGCTTCATTTTGTTGTAGTGAATTGACAATACGATGTATTTTATTTTATAATTATTAATTTTTTTTGTATATAAAATTTTTAAGGGATAATGACTTAAAAGGGCAATCTATTTTTTTATTTGTATAAAATTTGGTCACTGGGTTTTTTTTTTGTGCACATTTCCCATTAAACTTGTTGAAATGTTCAAAAAACATTCTTATGACCTGCTATCGGAGGTTTAGCCGGTTTCCGACGTATTTGACAACTCCAACAAGGCTCCGATTATCTTCTCCGGTGTTCATGGTTTTTTTGACGAACTCAAGAACTCATATATGTTCTCTCATTCTATCTCTTTCTTAGATCTGAACAAATTTAGAACATAAAGCCATATGGGTGTTCGGTTTTCAAACTCAAGAACTCAAACCCATAAATCAATTCTTCATCTTCATCGTCTTTTGTTCAAATTCAAGAACACTCAAACCCATAAAAAAATTCTTCATTCTTCATCTGTTCATCGTGTTCTTGAGATCTTTATCTGGTTTATCAGTTGTTCATCGTGTTTTTGAGAGCTTCTTCATATTTGTGTGTATGTGTGTGTGTTAGATTAGAACACAAACCTATATTAGAACACGAATCCAGATCTTCAAAAACCGAGCACGAACCCATATCGAATTTTGGGTTTGAAAAGCCCTAAATCGAGTTCATCTTCAAGTTCCTCATACCTTCAAGAACTCGTCAGACCTTTAAGCTCGATTTTGGGAAAACCTCCACATGTGAGTGTGCTCATCTTCAAGGCACCCAAAACACACAAAATTGATTTCTTCTTTGTTCTAGGAAATCGATTTATGGGTTTGAAAACCCTAACTCGACTAAGGGTTGTTCTTGAGTTCAATTTGTGGTCTTTATGTGTTTCCGGAAAACACACACATAGAAATAGGTATAGTTTTATTTGTGTGTGTTGAAGATCGTGTGTGTGTGTGTGTGTGCGTGTGTGATTTCATATGATCTGGGGTTCTTGAGTTGATGTGTTCATCAAATCTGACTTTGTGTTCATCTGATATTTGAAGAAACAACTTAAAAAAAAAGATGCAGATGAAGAATGACTTAAAAGGGAGAAAATGGTGGCTTGGATATGATATTTTCTCTCGTTGGTTTGTGTTCATCTGATGTTTGATGAACATGTTGTAGCACGTGTTCGATTTTCAAACTCAAGAACCCAAAACACAAAAAATATGATATTGGATGAACATCTTGTAGTAGGTGGCCGGAAAAATCATGAACGTTGGACTCTCGCCGGAGAACATGAGCAGAGCATTGTCGAAGTTGTCAAATACGCCGGAAACCGACTAAACCTACTATTGCAGGTCATGGGGATGTTTTTTGAACGATTCAACAAGTTCAATGGAAAAATATGGACAAAAAAAACTCATTGACTAAATTTGTACAAATCGAAAAATAGATTACCCTTTTAAGTCTTTATCTTAATTTTTAATCATACCGATCGTGGTTTCCATGTATTATAACCTAGTTACTTTAAAACACAATATATATATATATATATATATATATATATATATATATATATATATAGATATATATGTATATATATAAAAGCACACAAGCTAAAATATTTTAAATAAGTTTTAATGAAACATTTTATAAAATAATTTATTTAAAAATAACATCTATTTTCTATTTTATTTGATACAAACTAATAAATTAATAAACACCTTGTATAAATAACCCCAAAGACCTATATATATATTATATATATATATATATATATATATATATATATATATATATATATATATATATATATATATAGGTTTAAGTTCTATGGAAAACAAAAAACTCTAAAAATGCATAAAAAAAATACTTAGATATCACGAAACTTTTTTTTTGAATTTTTTTTATGAAAAAATCGTAGCTATTACTACAAAATCGCATGAAAATTTGTTTGAAAAAAAAACAAACTTTTTTTTATAAATAATAATAATAATAATAATTTTTTATTTTTTTTTCAGCGATTTTATTAAAAATGTTGTGATTTTTTCATAAAAAAATTCAAAATTTTTTTTTGTGATCTCTAAGTATTTTTTTTATGCATTTTTATGATTTTTAAGGTTTTTTTTGTTTTCCAAATAACCCTTCCATATATATATTGTTATTATTATTATTATTATTTTCGTCAACCCACAAAAAGAAAAAAAAAGAAAAAAAAACAAAAATTTATTATTATTATTATTATTATCAACCCACAAGAAAAAAAAACAAAAAAACACGAAAAAATCATAAATGTTTTATTATTTAACTCTAATTATCACATATATAATTTTAAGGCTTCACGACAAAATGTTTTTATCGAACTATGACTAAGATTTGACTAGAATGTTTGTTAGATTATTCTAAGGTATCTCCACGTGCACCAGCAACTTGAATACGCTCCACTGTGTCATGTTATCACGAAGCTTCACAGAAATGGCCGCCGGCGATTGTTGTCAAAGTTGAATTCGATTCAACCCACCACATACGACCCTTCTTTATAATCAATGAATTCTTTCCGGATAATCCTATTGATATTTATACGATCAAACTCACGGATTTCAAAGAAAAATCGAGGCTTGAAGCAATGGAATCAAATCAAGAACCCACCGGAAGTGGAGAACGAGGAAGAAGAGAAAATAAGTACAGAGGGATACGACGGAGGCCATGGGGGAGGTACGCAGCAGAGATACGTGATCCGACGAGAAACGGAGCGCGTTCATGGCTAGGAACTTTTGATACGGCGGAGGAAGCTGCTAGGGCTTATGACAGAGCTGCTTATGCTTTAAGGGGTCATCAAGCTATTCTTAACTTTCCTAATGACGGCCATTACCGGAATGTTGAATCTTCCACGGCGGAGCTGCCGTCGAGCTCCGGGTATGCTTCTATGGCGGCATTGCCAGCAAACTCGACGTTCTTATCAATGTCCTCTTTGTCATCGCCTTCTTCAAATATATCTTCGAGGGATAACAATGGCAGATCGGAAAGAGAGCCGGTTATAGAATTGGAGTATTTGGATGATAAACTTTTGGAAGACCTCCTTGGCAAACATTCACCAAACACAAGGATTTAACACCAAAACTGAAAGATACTTAAGTTCGAATCTCGTATTTAGACATTAATAAACTAGGTTAATGTTGAAAAACGAGAGATTTCATTACGGGATTGCGGAAACATGGCATTTTATGTAACAAACATTCAAAAAATTTATTTAAAATATGTATTTTATTGACGTATATATTGAAGTACGTGTTTCCTGTACTATCTGAACGATTGTTTATTGAATTATGTTGGATTTAGTATAAATACACGTGGTTTGCTTTAAGTATGTATGGAGACTAAGATGGATAAACATGAATATATGTTAAATTTTGATTTTGATATTTTGTTGTTCCATGTAAGATGATTATAATGTAATATGTATGTGGTTGGTATTGGTAACGGTTAAATTAACAAGAAAATGGGGTTTATGTTCGATATGGAACACTACTAGAAAATTGTCCCATCACAGATTTCATAGCTAAGTTGTAGGTAAAACAGGTTGCTTACGGAAAAATATCCATATGAATATAGCTCATGGGTAATTGGTTGTGACGGACTACCTACAGAACCTGTTTTACTACAGGTTACCTACAGGATTTTACTACAGGTTACCTACAGGATTTTAGCTAGGAATTGTCTACAAGAATTATTACCTATTAATTCCCTACGTCTTTTTCAATTATTTGTGACAGATCTATCTATCTATCGCAAATCCATCCTTAAAATGATTTTGTTTAAAAAAAACATAAAAAATTGAAAAATAAGTAGGTATTTTTTGCCTAAAATACAGAAAAACAAATAATACATTACAAATGCAGAAAAACTCATTATTCATATTCATCGGCCAAAATAAAATGTCACTAACATTCACCAAAAGCTAGGAACTATCTAGCGGATTACCGGATGGGTTGTTCATAGACTCAAAATGACCGCAAAAATAAATTGTCTAATATATTTGAAATGTTTAACATTCATAAAACAAGGAACTCAAAGTTGACAGTAATTTGTTCTTCTACTTGAGCTTGTCGCACATCAATTTCATGTTATCTTATTTGAAATCGTGCATCCAATATTTCAGCTTCTCTTTCTTTCAATTGCAAATCCAATATAGCTTGCATTTCGATTTGCATGTTTTCCATTTTTTCTCTCAACCTTTGCACCTAAAAACTGGTAAGAACATTAAAGTTAACAAGTTTTCCATTTTCTCTCTAGAAAAGGTGTTGATGATTATATTTTACTTAATACAATGGAACAATTCTATTAAGAATTATGTTACTGGATGGTTAAAGTGGATCGTAATTGTTGGTGTTGTGTATGTATGATAAGAATATTTTACTTAATACAATGGAACAATTCTATTAAGAATTATGCCAGAGAATGACCTCTTAATCCATAAAACAAAAATGTTACGAAAAATAACATATTCGTCCAACGATTTATTTCGAATTTGCTATGACGAACAATGATATATATATCGACATAGATTTTTCGAATTCTCATCAGCGTCTGGCTTCATACGCAGAATCATAAAATTCTAAAGAAGAATATATGGGCAAGAAATGGTTGGTGCATGTGATAGTTTACGGTACATAAACTAACCATCAGCCCAACATTTCAAACTTTTATCTGTGTGTGGTATAACACAGTGAATCATAAAGTTTTATGAAGGAGAATTTGAGGAGATAATGGAATGTTTCAATCACGTTGACTTGAGATCAATGTGAATCATAAACAATGTCAGCTCATCAACAAGAAGTGATTTATCTTCCGTATCATAGAGTTGAGTTGCAGTCTATAATATAAAATTCACCATCAATTAATTTAATGTTATACAAGAAAAAATAGGCAAGGAGATAAAAGCGTAAGAAATAGTTAACAGAATAATATTTAAAAAGGAATATATAGATTTTTTAGAGGCTCTTTACGTAGCCTTTTTTTAGAAGAATCATAAAACTGATGCTAGAATATCTTTTGATTTAAAAGCTCATGAATCAATTTCCTTTCTTCGAGATATCTCCTCCTCAATATAGTCTATAAAAGAATACACAAGCAAGAACAAACACATTAATATACAATACAACTCACTACAAACCAAGAATGATGAAGCCTTTAATCATTGAGATGTTACAGATAGATTCCAAGGTTCATGTTCACCAGGAGCAAGAGAGGAACGAGAACCGGTCTTTGTAACCTACAAGTTAACTAGCTTAAATCCGTGTAGCCATCGAGTTGACAAGATCAACACAAGGGAACTCGAGGTTTTATCGGATTATGAGTCAGTAGATGAAAGTAAGACTCATTGTATTGATGGTTGCTTCTTGCATCCGTAACAATGAGTGGAGGAGAGAAAGGATATTGTCAACAAGAAGAAGACTTGATGCCAATATTCTTCTCAAAAACTAGAGCATTCAAAACATTCTGAATGACCCCAGCTCTTTCCAACTCTGGAAGGAAGAGGTGCAGATAATCCTTAGATAGGCCTGAAAATAGAGAATAGAGAGAAAAGAGAGACTTAGAAACATTATATACAAAGCTTAAGAAAACTATATAAAGTTCTTTAAGAAAAAACATAATAAAAAAAACACTTTTTTATGTTTTTTTTTGTTTTAAGGAAACAAGTAGAAGCAACGCTATTTTAAACGAGTTAGAAAATGATTTAAGTCATTGAAAACATGCCAAGATCTGCAATCAGTTTGTTTAGAGTCTTCTTGTCCAATACCTTAGTGAAAATGTCAGCCAGATGATCAGTGGATGAGATGTAGAAAAACTCCACTTTTCCCTTTTGAGCAATGTCCCTGATGAAGTGATAACGAATTTCGATGTTCTTGGTTTTGGAATGATGCACTGGATTTTGTATCATCTGAATGGCGATGGTGTTGTCACAGTAGATAGGAGTCTTTGAGAAGTTTAGACCATAATCTAAGAGCTGATTCTGAATCCATAGAATCTGAGCATAACACCTTCCAGCGGCTACATATTCAGCTTCAGTAGTAGAGCAAGCCACTGATGTCGGCTTCTTGTTGGACCAACTCACCATTCTATCTCCTAGCATTTGAGCCCCTCTTGAAGTACTTTAACGATCAATGTTACATCCACCTTGATCCGAGTCATTGTATCCCACCAACTTGAACTCAGAATCGCGAGGATACCATAACCCAAGATTGGGTGTATGCTTTAAGTAACGAAAGTTCCTTTTTACAGCGAGAATATAATATTCCTTTGTACTAGCTTGATAACGAGCACACAATACGGTAGCAAATATAATGTCAGGATGACTGGCAGTAAGATAGAGCAGTGAACCTATCATTCCTCGGTATAGGATTGCATTCACATCAGCGCCAGTTGGATCAGCAGCAATAGACGCTGATGAGGACATTGGAGTCTTTGATGGTTTGCTATCAGAAAAGCCAAACTTCTTCAGTATGTATGCAATATATTTAGCTTGACAAAAAAAGATTCCATCAGATAGTTGTTTAACCTGCAAACCTAAAAAGAAAGTTAGTTCACCCATCATGCTCATCTCAAATTTCTTAGCCATAACCTCAGTAAACTCAGAATTTAGTTTTTCATCAGTGGATCTGAAAATGATATCATCGACATACACTTGAGCAAAAATGATGTGAGATTCTGAATGCTTTATGAACAAATTGTTCTCAATTTTTCCTCATTTGTATCCACTTTCCAGAAGATAACTCGTCAATGTGTCATACCTTGCTCTAGGTGTCTGCTTCAAACCATACATAGCTTTATCAAGATGATATACATGATTGGGAAATTCTTCACTTTCAAACCCTGGAGGTTGCTTTAGAAAGACTTATTCTTGAAGATCCCCATGTAAGAAGGCAGTCATAACGTCCATTTGATAGACTTTGAAGTTCTTGAATGAAGCAACAACAAGGAACACACGAATTGCTTCAAGTCTAGCAATAGGGGAAAATGTTTCGTCATAGTCTAACCCTTCCAGTTGACAAAATACTTGGGACACAAGTCTTGATTTATTTCTAATGATGATTCCATCTTCATCCACCTAGTTTTTGAACACCCAGCGAGTACCAATGATGGTTTTTCCTTAAGGCTTGGGAACAAGAGTCCACACACGATGATGTTCAAATTCATTCAGCTCATCCTGCATAGCGTTGATCCAGTCAGCTTCCTTCAAGGCATCAGCGACATTCTTTGGTTCAATAATTGAGACACAATTCACAAACATGCAGAAGTTGCTACTGACTCTGATACGAGTGATAATCCTACAATTTACATCTCCAATGATTTGAGATTCAGGATGATCTCGAAGAATTCTAGGATTAGTACGTTCATTCATATTGTTTGGAACTGAATCTTCCTGATTAGATTGCTCAACTTCTTCAGAGACGACAAGCTAATCTTCAGAGTTAGATTAGTAGTTGAGAATTTGATCAACATTGAGAACAACAGGCTCAGTGACATTTGGAAAGAATTCGGGAATAGGATCTGGAGGACTGAAGGTAAATTCATTCAGAATAAATGAAGGATGACCAATCCTATCATCAATGAACGAATCTTCATCAAATATGACATGAGAAATTTTCTCAACAGTTTTCCTTGAAAGATTAAATACCCTGAAAGCCTTGGATACACTAGAGTAACCTAGAAACACTCTTTCATCAGCTTTAGCTTCTAACTTAGAGCGATGATCTCTTTGATTAAAAATGTAGAAGACACACCCAAACACATGGAAGTAAGAGATGTATGGTTTCCTCCCCTTAAGAAGCTCATAGGCAGTCTTTACATGACGCTTAATAATGATGGAATAGTTTTGGGTATAACACGCTGTGTTGACAGCTTCAGCCCAAAATAACAGAGGAAGACCAGCTTCAATGACCATAATTCTTCCATCTTCAATGAGAGTTATATTTAGTCTTTCAGTAATGCTATTTTGTTGGGGAGTTCTAACAACAGAGAAGTTTTGAGAGATTCCTAAGTTTGAGCAAAAGTCTTATAGGGAGGAGTTTCTGAATTCAGTGCCATGATCACTACATAATTTCTTGACTT